GGTGATATCTTGATGACCCCAAGCTAATGTCTTTGTTGAGTTTGGTATCAAGAAACGTTTATCATCCAGACTGGTCAATGCCACTTTTCTTATTTAATTTATGTATATATTGTGCGACTCCGATGTAAATACATAAATCGTACAGTACACAGATGTCCGTTTCTCCCCAACAACATCCTTATAATGTAATTGATGTTTCACACTCGCCTTAGATATAACTTTGGCTCGTTTAGCCACTTGATCGACAGCAGAGTTCCCCAAACTTTTTTGTGTCGTAGACCCCTTGCCATGTTTTTTCTGTGTTGGGTAGACCCCCTACTTACCTGATATTGATTTCCTGTAAATTTCTAACTGTAGTTTAGTGTCATTTATTAATTGAATTTAAATTAAAACTACACAAAATAAAATTTTGTATCTGTTATGTAAAATATACGTAACATTAAATAAACAGGTGTCTGACCAATAAGTGCCCGCATTGGGAATAAGTGCCCGCATTGAAAAAAAAATAAGAGGGATAAAATAAAAAAAGTGAAAAATAATAAAAAAAAAGTTTTTTATACAATAAGCGAGTTCGTTTATTAATTATAATATAAACGTATGCTCTACAATAATTTCACTGTTAGTTCGATTAAATTCCGTTGTATTTAATTACAGATTATCGAGGGCTCGACGTATTGTAGAAAACGTTTTCGGTATTCTGGCCAGTGTATTTCGAGTTCTGAGAAAACCAATGCTGCTTCAACCGGAAAAGGCACAATTGGTAGTGATGACTGTGTGCCTTCTTCATAATTTTTTACGCAAAAGTCAAAATTCTGTGAATTTATATACCCCACCCGGTACATTTGATACTGAGGTGGATGGGATAATAACACCTGGAAGATGGAGGCGGGATAATAGCGAAATGAATTCCTTATTGCCATTAACAATCGTTGGTCGAAGATCACAATTAACAGCGCATACTATGAGAGATCAAATTGCTGACTATTGTGTTAATGTGGCAACGTTACCGTGGCAAAATGGGATGTAGTAGATTTAATTGCATTTTTTTCTGTAAGGAATAACTGTGTGTACTGTTATAGATTACGTTGTGGCAACGTTACCATAGAAAGCTTTGAAAATACTATGCGCGTACCTGTAAAGATTATTGTACTTACGGTATTTAGTCTTACAGCTCTAGGTTTATTTCTGTCAAGAAGAAATTCTAAATGTGGTAATGCAAACCAGGTAGATTGATAAACATTGTCTGCACCTAGAAATGAAATAAAAATAATACTGAATGATAATAACTATTATTCGTAAAATAACCTGACGTACTACATAGTAGAATTACCCCAGACATTAACCCAGGGCTTCGCCAAGAGCGAATGAAATTCAAATTTCAAATTGGATAATTTAGCTAATAACACAAGGAAAAGTTTACCTATGTATACAAAAAAATTGTTACTTGTCTTTTTTCAAAAAGTCCTTTTTTCATAGACACACTGGTAATTTCACTTTTAATGTCAGTTTCACTCACAATGAGACCAGATACATTTTGAGGAAGGATATTTGAAAAAAAGGACATATTGCTACCAAGGACATTTTGAGAAAAGGACATTTTGAGACTCGACGTAAACTACCATTTACTTTTGACAACTCTCAATTAAATTTTGAATTTTATTCAGTCTTGGCGAAGCCCTGGGTTTGCATGTCTTTTGTGTGGGGAAACCGGACTAACAGTGGCGAGTAAATAAGAAACCGTAACTATTCTAAAATAGCTATAATATAGCTACATACTACTACTTCTGATATATGTGACCTATGAATGATTAATTAACGCCAATTTTTTTTAATTATTCAAAACTATTTACGCCAAAACATTCCGGCCACTGTGATAATTACAAATATGCATTTAGACAGTAATATCTACTAACCTTGACCCGTTGTCTTGGATTTTGCTATCTTTTGTCTTTCTCGACGAAGTGCCGAAAGCAAGTAATCCATTTTTTTCTTTATTTCTTCTGACGGACGTTGCAATTCGGTCCCTAATTCGTCCCAAGCATCTTTTTTAAGTAATCTATTATAATAGTTGCAGTTTTGAGGGTTCCACAATATTTCTTTAAGTTTATATGCTTCAATCAATTGTATCACACTATCGTTATCCCAACTCATGATTACAAAAGCATCCACGTACAGGAACTATCGGAGGAGTAGCGTGCCTTGCGCTCACACGAAATGTACACATGTGAATGCAAACTTGTCTAATCCTGTATTATTGTGTATCGCTTTTGATGATCGGGGAAAAACCGCCTCGAGCTGGATCGCGGCGTATCACGTATCAAATGACATAGCCGTATTATGACACGGTATCAAAATACGTCCACACTAGGTCATTCTGCCGATCATGATATGCGTATCCAATACGACACGTATCAGATACGCGGTTAATAGCGATCGGGGTGTATCATGATACGAAGTGTATCATGATCGCGATCATTTTGCGTCCACACTAGCGAACATGATACGCGTCGATGCCACGCGACGGAGATCTGATACGCGAAAATGATCAAGTGTGGATCCACCCTAAGAAGCTTTCAATATCAGAACTAATTTCATCAATACGTCTTTCAACAGTATTGTTGCTTAAGGGAATTCTTTTAATGATATCAGATGCAGGTTTGTGTAAAACAGTTTTTAAAACCTCTTCAACGGCTGGCAAAATTAACTTCTCTCCGATAGTATGCGGTTTTCCTGATTTTGCTATAAGTAACGAGATATTGTAAGACGGCCGCAAACCATCATCATTTCTTTGTGACGTCGAAGCGAACATTCTGTCCAGTGTAGGTCTCTTCTGAAATTTATCTTCGAGTTTTTGAAAGTATTTCAAATCTTTCTCTGTTTTATCAGGGTGGCATCTTCTCAGATGATCTTGCAGTTTAGATGGTTTCATAGCGTCATTGCCCAAAACTTTGTTGCATAAAAGGCACATAGGCGATTGTTTGTCCGGCAATGATGGAATGAAGCCAAATTTCAAATAATCAACACTGTACTGTCTACATTTCTTTTTAGATTCGGACATGGCATCAGTCATCTGTGGGCAAAATTAAATTATTTAAATAAGACAGAAAATCCAGCAGCTGTATATTAAAAATATTTTTTGATTTTTCCGAAAACATTCCATAATTCGAACATCTTCTTGCAACAATTAGCTCGAATTACGGAGATTGCACTGTAATTATATTACCGATTGCTAAAACTTTCAAAAAGAAACTATTGAAGAGTACTCGTGTAATTTTGCATGATTGAATATTTAACTACTAATAACTATAGTCATGGTTGGCGTAATTTATCTATCTTTGCTAACTACGAGTACAGAACTAAACTTTTCTTCAGCACTCTCAAACAAAATAACACTGACTCACTATAATTTGTGTGATATACTATCTGTTTATATTTTTTAAAATATTTTCTTAGCACTTTCCTTTTCAAGATTCAGGAAACGAATAAACGTATTTTTCCCACATTCGTATTTATAGAGTGACGAATTGAACAAGTCAGTGCAAGGTAGCGAAGCTCTGAGACTGCGACTCTCAGGTTTTTACAAGTTCAAAATGTATTGTGACCACAAAGCGAATACCAACATCCTACAACTTACACAATTTTATAAACGTATATAATAAATTTTTTACTTCATAGGTACTTTTATAAATAATGTATATGTTTTGATATTATAAGATAGTATGATGTAAGTAAATAGGTACTATCAGTGTATGAGTTGAGATCCACTATCGTGGACCTCCATATTCATTTCATGGACCCCCAAATTTTTTTTCGCTGACCTTGCAGGTTGTTATAGACCACTTTGGGAGTCAATGATCTACAGCATCGATACAGTATGCTTTGGGACCTGTACCATAAAAGGCAGACAATACCTTGCCACCATATTCGTCTTTCATCTTACCCAACTGTGACGCTGTTCGAGGCATGTTATGTGGGTTGTCAGCATCATAATTATATGTGTCAAAGTAATGCATGTGTGATTTCATGTCTTCATAGAAATTATCGGCTTCAGCATGTACTATTAACGAATCAGTGTCCGTGTATGCTAACGACACCTTATTACTATATTGGTGCTTCAGAAAGTTATAGAAAAAGTCATACCGGGCTACTTCGACATACTTTTGGCATAAATCATTCTGTACTTTCATGTGTAGGCTGATGAACAATATTATATAGATGTCAACGTAACATTTGAACCTTTGGCTATCAGCTAGACTCTTTATTAAAATCCTATATTTTTTCACATACCTTTTTTTATTTTTAAATTTGTGTCGATGTTGCCCCTAGGGAGGGATAACTTCGGCATCATATGTATTTTAAATGATATGTCGATTTTATTGTTCGCGAGGGTTACATCGACACCTAGAAATTATATTTTTTTTAACAAAAATACTATAATATATTAAAAAAACTTTCTCAAAAGTTTACAAAAAGAAATGAAACAAACGTAATAAACAACAGAAAACGTGTAACTCTCAAAATTAAAATTAAATAAAACGCCAGTGTGTAAACCTTCCTTTCCGCAAAAAGTCCAGAAAAGATGGAATGCAATGAAGATTCCAACTTTTCTGCACAATCACAGAAAGGGGGTTACCATTAGCTTCCGGTAGCTCAGTCGGTGGCATGAAGACATCTACAGGCGTGTAGCTGTGTGTCGACCATGGCATGGCTAGAGGATAGAAGAACAAACAGAGCACAAAAATTTAACAGATTTTATTAAACTAGAAAAGCATTTTCATTACATGTGAGAATTAACATTGTTGAAATTTTAAAGAACAAAATAAAAGATTTAAATCTTTGGCGCTGTTACAAAATTATCCACTTATCTTTCGTTAAGCTGGTCCATTTTGACTGGACTGAAGCGAGGATGGCCAAGGGCTTCAAGTGGAGGTCCCAGTTATGAGGGGTGACCTCATATTCAGTGGCTTCAAAACTAGATGTAGGCGAAGGATGCAGTGAAGTTGAGCTTAAGGGTACGCTCACAGTGGAGCCGACTATTTGCGATTATGCACGATGGCGATTACGGACGACTTTTCACACGACTTGGTCGTACGACCAGAGTGCACACATTGGAACATACTTATCGGACATACTCGGGAGATTTCTTGTACTTGGTGTATGTAGTTACTACTTTTAAAAATGAATCCATTATTTTATCTGGCTGAAAACAATCTGCAAGACGTCGAAGGCGAAGGCGTCAGAGGAGGATGGAATGGATAAACGAAATATATATGAAGAGAGAAGAATTTGGCGAGTTCCATCATCTAATGGATGATTTAAAGGAAAACCCCACAAAGTTTTTTGAATATTTCCGTATGAGTTTAGAAACTTTCAACTATATCTTGGAACATGTTAAGTCTGACCTGACTAAATACAACAATTTTCGCCGTGGGATATCCCCTGAAGATTGACACTGTGACACTAAGGTAAGAAGATAAACAGAATATTGAAATTATGACTTAATTAACTTTTTATTCTTCAACATAAACGTTTTTTTAAACAAATAAATTTTTGAACAAACGTCATTTAACAGAAATAGAACACAAATAAGCTTCTTTGTAACTGAACTAAACCTATTTCTAACGGATATAAAAATAAAGAACCTCTCTCAGATTTTTTTGGAGACATTTTGGAACAGATTAGCTTCTTTTTTCGATGTCTGTTGGATCAAAACTTGTGAAAAAAGTCTGAAGTTGTGGCGGATTGTGCTGTGTGGGTAACTGACGAGTTCCTTCCAAAATTACGTAGCTTGTACTGGGTTGGGCGCTCGAACAATCACTTAGCCAGTCTTCACTCGATGACTGGTAGCCTGGACTGGGAGTTGGTAAATATGATGGAGTGGGTTGATTCTTGATGAGAACTTGCATCAAGTCCGCTCGTACGGACAACTGTTGAGAAGCGGGTATTTTTTTAAGAAAAGGGTGCAAACTCATTAGGAATTGCATTTCGCTATCCTGCACAGGTCCCTTGAAATATTTCAATTTCTCTTGCTCAATTCTAAGAAACGCTTCATCATACTTAGCTGCTTCATTCTGTCGCCGCCTATTTTTCTTCTTTGGTGGTGACTTGAACAGGCGTTTAGAGGATGATGATGATGATTGTGGTGATTGATGGATTTGTGGTAGCAGAGTTTGTGAAGTCGTTGGTGTCGTTGGCGGTGATTGTTCTGTAGATATATTATCATCGTCATCATGCTCGATATCCGCTTCATTAATGTCAGTTGCCTCAGATTCAGGTTCGGGGACACTACCTTCCAAGGTTCTTGGCGTCATTATATCTTTTAGAAAAAACATTAGTTTATAAAATGGCCATTTAGAGGTGTAGTCCTTAGCTGCGTCGCCAGATTTATGTGAAGTAGATTTTTTAAACTCCCTTCTGAAGATATCTCTTAAACCTCTCCATTTTTTCTTTAAGTCGTCACCTGCAACAAAATATATTTTTTTATTCGGTTCATGTCTTGACTATCTATAGTGTAAATGATGTTTCAATTTTATATGTGAGCCCCTTAAAAGCCAAATGGTGTAAGTCACACGAAACGAATTTGGATATATTCAATCTTTTATTGCATTTAATATAGAAAAATGTTAAATGTTAAAATTATTAATCTAAGAATAAAGCACATATTTCCTAACTATATAACATAACAAGATTTTTTTTAATTTTATTCTGAAATTTCTATATTAAATGCAATAAAACATTGAATATATCCCAATTCGTTTCGTGTGTCATGTAAAATTGGGTGTGTCCCTCCAAGCTTTGCGCTGCATACCATTGATAAAGGCTGAAAATGCAGCCGAAACGTTTGGAAATAAATATGTTATAATTTCAAATACCTAACTTATTATTCAGCAATTATATGTGAACCAAACTTCAAGAAAAATTCGTAAAATATAATATATTTTTTTTAGATATCTGGCTACGGGCTCATCCTTTCGGAGTATTGGATTTTCTTTTCTAATGGCTAATAATACAGTTGCCGGTATTGTACACGAAACATGCGGGGCGATATGGGAAAATCTTGGAGAAATCCACATGAAATTTCCATCGAATAAGGAAGCAATTCAAATTACAGATAACTTTTGGAAGCGGTGGAAGTTCCCAAATTGTATAGGATGCATTGATGGGAAACGTATCCGTATCAAAGCCCCTGCAAACTCTGGCAGCATGTTCTACAATTATAAGCATTTTTTTTCAATCGTCCTACAAGGTATTGCTGGCCCAGACTATAGATTTATTGCAATAGAAGTTGGGGCTTATGGCAAAGAAAGCGATGGTGGGATATTTTCGAATTCACGTTTATCGAAGCGGTTAGAAAATGGTTCCCGCAATGCTGCTTCTGAACGACAATTGCCGGATACCAACGTATTTTTGCCTCACGTACTAATAGCAGATGAAGCATACCCTTTAAAAACGTACTTAATGTGCCCCTATCCTGAAAGAAGCTTAGGACCTGAGGAAGAATACTATAATAGACGTTTGTCATTAGCTAGACAAGTCGTTGAATGTGCCTTTGGAATAATGACTAGCAAATGGAGACTACTAACTAAAAGTATGGAAGTTCACCTCCAAAAAGCTGACATTATTATCCAATGCATATGCCTTCTTCATAATATTGTTATTGACAGAGAGGGTATACCTTTGAACATTGAACCCACACCGAATGGCTTCCAACAAAACGCAGCCATTCGAGCACGTAACATAGGTTAAAACCATGCTGTCAGAAGAGCATATGCTATTCGAGAACAATTTAAGTCTTTTTTCAATAATAATCGTATATAATTTTGTCTAGCATTAAGAAGAAAAATATTCTGTACTTAAAAAAATTAATGTTTGTTTACAAAATACATACCTGTACACTTCATTTCTAATGCTATTTCTTTCCAAGCCTTTCTTTGCAAATCTCTCGAATGGTAATTTTCACTATTTAAATTCCACAAACACTCTTGTTCGTGAACCAACATTATTAGTCTTTCTGTATCCATTTTTTCCTATACAGAAAATTAATAAGCACGCACGACTATACCACAAAATCCAAACCCGTTTGGATCGAGTCGCTTGTCGGTCCTATACGTGCGTAGTCGTACGAGCAAATCGTCTGCAGTGTGAGAACAGATATGCATTTACGTAAGTTGGGAACCTTCGTGTGTAATCGGACGATTACACACGACTTCAAGTCGCACATAGTCGGCTCCAGTATGAGCGTACCCTAAAGGTGATCTTCATCAAGGATGAAGCTGTAAGTGATGACGCAGCCAAGGCACATGCATGGGTGAAGGCACGGCAAAGTGATAAGCCAAGCAATAGGTAAGCCAAAGTATGGATGAAGGCAAAGTCAAAGTCAAAGACAAAGGGGGTGGCCCCAATCTGAAAAAGAACCGTGTGCATTAGCAACGTGCCTCAATGGCCAAGGCATTTCCAATCTCAGTCTGCCTCAAAAGAGAAGCAACGATTTTCTAGGTTAGAATTACATTTCATAGTTTGATAAAAGCGAACCGAAAATTGGAAATGCCTTTCATAAAATAAAATCATGAAATAGCAAAAAAGCGTAAAACAAGATGGTAGTCATCAAAAATTTCTCCACATGCTTATGATATAAAAACAAACATATCGAATTTTCATAATCAACGTACCCATAATTTCACTGAACTATGAATATATATACGCACACAGAGGTAAAATCGTTGTGGATCGATTTCTACCTCGATTTGATTAAAGTTATGGCAATTGATCGAAGTAGTCGAAAATGATGTTCGATGGATATTTTAAAATGGTACAAGAAATAAACCACTTACATATCGATTATCTATGAACTACAGGCAGATCCAGCAATAAAACTGTATAGTATTATAAAACTCACCATTTTATCCTATTCAGACACATATTTTATAAAATGCTAGCACATGGTGCTATATGATTTCATGCTATAGAGAACAAAATTGTCAGTTGTTCCGATCTAACGGCGGCTGAAGTGAAAAGAAACCGCGAGAAAGGTCACAGATGAGAAACTCAACACGTGGATGTTATTGCCAGCATCAAGCGTGCTCCAAGCGGAAATTTTTCCAAGTAAAAAAGCTAGAGATGGGATTAATGAATTGCGATTCTGAAATGAAAATCGAGAAGTGATTTAATAAATACAATCGGACGGTGAAACCGTTACACTCGCCCCTACTTAACCAGAAAAAAATTCGAAGAAGCATTCAAGAATTTTTTTTTAACAAGGAAATTGAAAGTTATCACGGAAGGACAAATGTACAACCATTCGACCAGATAACAAGTAGCAAAAGTAAGGTAGAAACAAAAATGTTACAAGGGAATTGGAAGAAAAAGTGATGGCCTCAAGTCTACCAAACAAGATGGATGGTTATAGCACCAACTCGCTGAAAAGTACAGTGAAGTTGCACTTAAAAAAACTATCATCATATGATG